ATTTGTGTCTGTGTGTGTGCAGGGTCCGGTTCAATATGCATTTTCCGGATTCCCCATATTTTTACTTTTTATTTCATTCTATATATCTTTGCTTAATGATATTTTTTTTTTATATTTTTTACATTCCACTTTTTCTTAAATCTCACTTTCATCCCTTGTCAACAATGCATTCAAATATTTTTCTTGCAAAGTGTATTAATTAATTTCTAAATAAAATATTATTTTATTTTTCAAAATTAATGAAACACAAGAAACAACATAAAATTAAGGGGAAAAAATGAAGCATAATAAAATTTTTAATAAATAAAATTAAAACAAAAAAGAAGAAAGAGAAGTGAAAATTTGAGGTAAAGTTAAGGATAACAGATTATAAATAAAAATTAAATGACCAATATAATGTTAGACACATTGGATATTTAGTTTAATTCTTTAACTTTATGTAAGGATTCAGTTTGGATATTTAGTTTTATGAAATTTTTCAGTCCTCTAGTTCTCACCCGTTAGTTAAATAATAAAATTTTATGTCAGTCATTGTTACTTAAAAAAAAAAACTTAATCTGTCAATATTGGAGAATATTTTGTCAACCTTTAAAAATTTAATGTCAGCATTTTTTGTTAATAAAACTAACTATATTAGGATTAACAGATTGAAAAAACACTTTATAAAATTAAGGGATTACAATGAAAGTTGTGAAATATTAAATCATTAAAGACGTATATTTGCCATAAATTTTTAAAAACACTAGGATCAACTCAAATTAACAAATAAAAATAGAAATTAAGAAATTATAAACCACTATGGTTAGTCCCCACTGCAAATTAAATGTAATTCATACCAAGATAAGGGTTGGAATCCTCTTATGGATGTAGGACCTTTCTAATGAATAATTTATATTTTCATATGCAAAAATATAAATTAGAAATTAAAATTATATTATTTTGGAAATATATTAATTAATTTTATTAATTATTTTTTTTATGGTATATCTATCATAGAAGTAGGACCTGATCAATGGAAGTAGTTTTAGTGATCAACTAACCATTAAAAAGCTAACACTCTTGAGTAGTTCTTTAGACATTATCTTTAATGACTTTGCTATATCCACTTTGGCCATACTTAGAAGACCCTTTGAGAGCTGGAAGAACTTGAGACGTCTGAACGTTTGCGAAAATAAACCTGCCAATGTTAGCCGCGTCCGGTGCTGTCAGAATGCCCAAGAACACTTGCTTGATGACTTGCATGCTGGTCCATTGGTTCCATGCATTCACAAGATTTGTCATGTTCCATTGGTGTACTGGCATGGAGGGTGGTTGAAAGATTGAATTCAAACGTAATCAAACAAGTAGGTTTTAATCGCCGAGCACAAGAGAGCATCTGGGAATGTACATTGCAGTGCAGCGGAGAGGATCAACTACTGGTCCAAGTCCTTTAAAGCTTTAGCTAGATCATCCTAATGCTAATTGAACTAACCACGATATCGAAATCGATGGCATCCAAAATCGTGCATCACCAAGCAGCAATGAACTAGATTGTTGATGGAATATGGATGAGATTCAATTAGTTTTATTTTAGATATTTAAAATTATTCTATTAAGATTGTTTAAATAAGGATATTGAATCTCCATTAGATTATTTAGGGTTTAATTAGATTTTCTTATCTATAGTTTTTTATGATTATTTTAGATTTTCTTTATTTCCAATAAATAGGATACCTAAACATATAAATCTAGATTATCCTTGTTGTTATCTTTTAGGATTATGTTAAGATTTCATTTATTATTATTTTAATATTTTTAAGCTCCATAAATAATCTTAGAGTTTCTCAGTTGTATTCAAATTAGTTTTGAAGAAATTGAGTTGAATATTGAATTGTACCCTTTATTTGAGTTTCTCTTTTCTCTAATTCTCTCTTTGTTGGTGGAGTTGAGGGAGTGACTTCCATTGCTTCCATGGAGAGAAAGAGAAGCACTTTAATGCTCTTATTTTGGCAAGTTTTGATGTCTGTTCTAAATTTGGTTAATAAGTTTAAATCTTGCTACCATATAATGTGATAGTCTTATTAATGAGTAATCTATATAAATATCTTTATGAACACTCTTTAAGCATGGAAGTATGTATTGCTTCTAGAAAAATAGTAAAACTACTTTTACATGGTTTTCAAAAGTCAAAACATACTTTTATGGTTCATTTGAAGTTCTCATTCTACTTTAGATCACCACCACTAGGAAATGAGTATTTGGGTTTTAAAAAATTAACTTTTTTTAAAAAAAAAAATCAGACTTTGAAGCCCGGCCATGAAAGAAGGGCTCAGGCAACTTTTTTGGGTCCCTTTTTGTTTTTTCCTTAAAAATAAAGTATTTTTAATTTTTAAATTAAATTTAAACTTAAGAATATATGTCTGTACTTTAAAATAAAATTTTTTATTATTAATAATTTTTAGAATTTTATGTTATTTCAGCACAATTTTCTTAGATTTTAATATATTTTAACACATATTTTGAACATCCAAACCAAGAACAAATATGCATCTTATATATTTGGTTTTGCACACATGACTTTATATTGATAGTTTTGGGCAAAATTTATACTATTTTTGTTGCATTTTTTTAGTTCCTTATTGATGCTTTTGAAAAGTCTAAGGATGAAAAAATAAGATAAAAAGGTGAATGGCTACACCAAATGGGAAAAGTGCAGAGAACAAACCAAATAAGGGAAAAAAAATCAGACAAAAATCACTCAAATATTTTCTATATTTGTAGCTTTTGGATGTTTATGAGTAGCTAAACACATTTGTTCTAAAGTTATTTTGAATGGTTGCATGAACTAATTAATACTGACTTTCTCCTATCTTTTTTGATGAATTATATGTAAGTGTTTATTTTACTCTTCTCCTAATGCTTCTAAGTGATTGGCCATAATATAGATATTTTGTTCATTTGAGTGATGCTTGAGAAGGCTAACTAGCTTGAGTGTAGATCTTAGATAAAATAGTGCAAAAACTTGAGTTTACATGATGAATAGATGGTTTTGTTAGCAAGATATAGATATTTTCTAACCTTGTATAGCCACATTAGTTTTGAAACTTAAAAATTGTATTTTGCTAATTGTAACAAGAGAGCAATTAATGAAATTAAAAAATATATAATGATCATTGAGAGAGGTTATTCAAGCATTTTTAAAACCCTAGGTTAACACTTATTTTTATTAAGAACATTTATAAGAGGATGTAATTTAAGTGTTACACACTAAATGCAAGGGAAACAAATAATCCAAAGTTCCATTTCATTCTTGATTAGTATAAGAATCATTTGCTTTTCTTTATTTTCTAGTTTTAATATAATTGAAGCAACCAATCTTGTCCAACTAATTGTGCTTTGCTCAATTTAGTTGAATTTGCAATATCTTTTGCTTGATCATACTTTTAAGACAATGCAAGCCTATGTGAGAATGATACTCTATTCACATTACATTATTTATTATGACCTGCGCACTTTCATAGCATAGAACAATTGGATATTCAAATGAGATTGTTAACAAGTTTCTTTTGATGAATTAATAAACTATACACTACTAAAATTACAAGTTTAATTTATGGTTATAATAAGTCATCATGATGTTAGCAAACCTTTTTTAGGAACTTGGTTCATTTTATATATAACATTTTGCAGCATATAATTAATAGTACCAATGGCTTAGTGGTTCAAATCCCCTAGCTGCTTTTAGGCAATTATTTTGTTGGCCAGTGGCTGGATCTCCAGCTGGCAGTGGTCCAACTTGTAGAGCTCTCTAGTGGTGGCAATGATGATGGTTGGGGGTACTTTTAAATTTTAATAGAGGGTTTTTTATCATTTCTCAAGGACCAAACTTGGGTACTTAACCTTACATATTTAATGTACTTTTATCTAATCAAATTTAAACAAATGGATTTTAATGTTGTAATAATATTAATAACAAGAGTTAATTATAGAATATATATAATATAAATTATCCACATTTTTTAATTTGACTGGAAAAAAGAACCTTAAATATATATAAGGCTAAACATATAATTTTTCCATTCAATTTAATCCTTTGGTCATGCAATGTGATTTCAAAGTTCAGTGATCCTGATTTTAAATTATTTATCTATTGCGTTTCTTTACTAAAATATTTTTAGCTCATTTTTCCATTGAACACTTCCATTAGTATTATTCCATAGCTATACACATCAACTTTTGATGAAACAATTCCAACAGATCCATATTCTGCATATGATATAATTTAATTCAACCAAAGTCAAATATCAAGTAGCTCATATATGATAAAATAAGAACTAACTAATAACACAAATTCCTTTGCATTTCTTGAAGCATTCTTTAGAATTTCTTGGATATATATATATATATATAATAGGTTTAAAATAACAATCAAACAGTACTTTAAATGTATGGTTTTTAGAACATAAAAACTGTCAGAAAACACTCTCAGCAAATACAATATATGGGATATTTTTTTTGACCGGAATATATATCTCAAATTGTTATATACACTATATTAAAACTACTTACTACATTGATGAATATGAGCCCACATACATTTTTTTTGGCCGAACACAACGATATACATTAAAACACGCCATCACATTCATGTTTGAAAGTAAAACAAAGAATTCAACATAAGTATACTAAATTAGTTAAAAAAGTATAGTTCTTTTTTTAATATAAAAAAAGCCATCAAAATTGTAAGGAAATAACCAATAAAAGTTTTATATAAGGAGTAGGGAAATTAGATTCAATTGCAATTATTTTCCACTGATAACTTTAACAATGTGTTGTAGTTCGTCAATTCAACTTCTCATGTATAAAAACATAATGTCTTGTAAACAAGTGCATCATTTCACATAAATAAGAACTAATTTATTTTTTCTCTGATTTCATTTGATTTTGTTAATCTGAAAAATGAGAGACAAAATGGGGTAACTACCTGGTGTTTTGTAAAAGAAGAATAATAAAGATTTAAGCTAGTTACTACCTGGTGCGATATAACCAATTGTAGATATTATCTCGGTGTGCATCTTAGATTTCCCTTTATCTAAAGATTGGGCAATTCCAAAGTCACTCACATGGGCAACCATATTATCATCCAACAAAATGTTACTTGGTTTCAAATCACAATGGACTACTGGTGTTGACAAGTCATGATGAAGATATTCTGAAGGAAATGCTACATTTATCATTATATTCAACCTTTGTAGAAAATCTAAATGATAGTTATCAAAATATAACCATTTTTCAAGGCTTCCATTAGGAATGAACTCCATTATCAAACACTTCAAATCGGCATTGGAACAACTACAAATGATCTTCACCAAATTTTGATGGCACAAATTACACATTGCGTCACATTCCACCTCAAAGCTCCTTGACAATGCTTCTGAGTCAAAATTGAATATTTTAATAGCAACCATTATTCCACTTGAAAGTTTTCCTTTGAACACAGAACCAAAACTTTCCCTTCCAAGTAAGTTACTCTCATCAAATCTGAGTTGCATCCAAAATTTCAAAATAAGAAATCTTTCTTGGCATTCCTAAAGTAGATAAAACTTTTTTAATGGTATGCCTATAATTTATTCACTTTTGTTGAAAGAGGACAATGCCTGTAGCAATTAAAGCTGTCGACAAAGCCATTGGCAATACACATTTCAATAAAATCGATTTTTCCATTGACCTTGTACTTGTTCCTTTTTAGCATGGAGGCATTTGCTTTTGTGGCTCACCACAAAGTGCTTTATTCAACATAAAAGATTCAAATGTTAAATTTTTGAAGACTCTGCCACTTGGAATCTCACCTTGTAGTTTGTTAAAAGAGAGATTGACATACACAAGGGATATAAGTGACTCTAGAGATTTAGGAATATCACCAAATAATTAATTTTGGGAAAGGTCTAACTTTACTAAGCTTGGAGAATTCCCAAGTGATTCAGGAATCTTCCTATGCAATTTGTTATGTGCCAATGAGAGAATTTGCAAATTTTGCAAGCCACCTATTACTGATGGAATGATGCCTGATATACGATTTATTGACAAATCTAATGATATAAGTGCTGTTAAGTTGCCAATCTTGAATGATAGATTTCCAACTAAAACATTAGAAGATAGGTTTACTTCCAATATACCAATTGCATTCTAAAAGGAAGAAGGTATCTCAGAAATCAACTCATTGGAGTCCAAGTGAAGTTTTGCAAGGACATAAGATTTCCTAAGCAAGGCCGAATTGCTAAGCAAGGCAGAATTGCTCTAGAAAACTTGTTTTGAGATAAATGTAGATAGACAAGTCTTCTAATTTCACAAAGCTCATCAACAATCAAGCCACCTAGCTCATTGCCTTCAAGATTCAAATCTTGAAGAGCCTATATGTTGCTAATTGCTTTTGGTATCGGTCCATTTAAAAAAATTTCAGCCAATGATAGCTGAAATAAGTTAGATAGATTCCAATTTTTGATGGTATGTTATCAATAATCCTGCACGAGTCTACAAGTAGAACTTGTAGAGAATTAGACAAGTTTCTAATGGACTTGGGAAGTTCATATGCAGTGGATTCATTGAGAGAATCAAAATTTTCAAATGTCTACAATTTGACAATGAATTGAAAAGGCTAGTTTTAGAATCAGAACTATCTATAATGGTAAAATTATTATCACTTACTGAAAAGGTTTCTAAGTATCTTAAATGCCCAAGTGTGTTTGGTAAAACCCCTTCAAAATTATTGTTGTCCAATTCTAGAGCGGTTAGCTTTGAAGCATGGGATATAGTATTTGGGATTTTTCCAAAAAGTTTGTTGCCCCATAAATAAAACCTTTGAAGATTAGAAAGGCCACCAAATCCAAAATTTGATGGAAGACTTCTTGATGGAGAATTGTTTGAGAGAGACAAGACCTCCAAAGTTGACATGTTGAAAATTTCTGATGGAATAAATCCTCTAAATTTGTTTTGAGACAAATCTAATATCTGAAGCTGTTGAAGATTACCAATTTCCATAGGTATTGATCCTATAATACAAATATTAATTGAAGTATCAACGAAAGTTAATACTAAAATATAAAACAAATTATAAATGTCTAACTACTTAGATTTACCCACTACTTAAACATAAAATTTTGGACAAATTTGTGATGGATTGGGGCCTTTGCAACAAACTTAGTATGCCTTGATCCGTCACTAATTTAGTGGTCACAATTTTGTGATATAATTTCACATTTTTTATGTTTAAAATAAATGCTCTTGCAGGGTATTTTTTTTAGTAGTGGATGATGAGTTTTTAGCTTGCTGGCCTAAGCTTCTAAAATTATTTTTAATGTATACTATTACAAACCTAAATAGTCAGTTACATCATGGTTTTACAATTAGATCAAATCAGCCGGTTGGATGGGAACTAGCTTGTCATCTAGTCTAGCATAAACCATTAAATCTTATGTGTAGTGAACTAGTCAAAAATTTGTCAACAAATTGGGGGAACATGAAAAACATGTTGGCTGGTTGATTCACCAGTTCAAGCATCAAATCTAAATAAAAAAGAATAGACAGGAGAGGTTTGAGAGAAGTTGAAAGTCATGAGGGGAATGAAAATGCATGATTCAAAGAAAAATTAAGAAAAGAAGTCATTATACAGTATAAAATATCACGTAAAAAGAAAATGTTTGTAGTACATTATATTCTGGTGAAAATGTACCTTCTAAATTATTGCTATCAAGATACAACTGTTGAAGCACAGTCAAGTTTCCAATGCCTCTTGGTATGGGGCCAGATGGCTGATTAACCCTTAGGCTCATCATCTTCAGATTTGCAAGACTTATAATTTCATTGGGAATATTTCCTGCAAACAAAAAAATAATAATAATAACTATGCATCATTGTAAGTAAAAAGAGCAACACTTAAATTTGTGGTAACGCATACTTTCTATGTTATTTCAAATTATTTGTGTTTTAAAGTTAGTGGTCTAAATGAAAATAAGCTTATATATGTCTAAAAAGCATGATTGTCCTCATATATAGATTTATATATTCAAAAGATGAACAAACACTTAAAATCATCCATAAAATTATGAGATATATATATATATATATATTGTTCTACGTTTGAAAACAATTTAGTCTATATTAGCCTAGTTTGTTTGTTTTTATTTTGATGAATTATATTTCTTGATAAATTAACAAGTTTAATAAGGGGTGGCGGTTTTTTTTTAACTTTTCATAAAAACAATTTACTTTTTAAATAATAAGAAGCTTGTTTAAATGATAATAAAAGATAATTCCCATTAATTATATATGGTTTTGAATCGCTACGTACCAATCCCAAAGCATAATGTGCAGTTAAAATATATTTTCAATTAAGAAATTTAAGTTGGTGAATATTTGATATAGTCTGTTAAATTTTGTAGTACAAGTTGTGAAAGCTGTGCGTCGTAATCTAAATAATAAAATAAAATAATAGTCAATTTTCCAATTCCTTGAGCATATATATGTATATATTCACTATACCTGTTTAAGGTTAATTAATGAGCAGAAACTTATTATCATCATCTATGTTTATAAATTTTGGATTCTCCATGTTTATTGTAAAGAAATAATTCCTTTTGCAGTGTGGTCAAAAAAAGAAAAGTAACTCTATTTTGATTGCCCCTGCATAAAATATCATATTAACCGAAAATTAAGCAGAACTAGCCTTTATTTTGATAAAAGTATTTATATACCTTCTAAGTTATTGTTGTCCAAAAATAACTCTTGAAGCCGAGTGAACTTGCCAATGCCTCTTGGTATATGACCAGACAATTGATTAGCACTTGCGTATATGCAACTCACACTTGTAAGATTGCTTATTTCATTCGGAATATTTCCTGCAACATTACAACACAATAAAATCATAATGCTGTGAATTGTTGCATAAAATTAAACATTCTAATTCCACACCTCTCACCTCCCACAATTTTACTTTTATATTTTGGAAACAAATTTGATATCGTCTGTTGAGTTTATACACACACACAGACACACATGGTTTAATAATTTTGCAAAGAATAATTTTAATTTAAAAACATAAAATATAATGAACTCCTATGAATTTATTTTATGATTTTGAAGAATCCTTGTAAAAAGAAGTTATGAAATTAAAGTTGGAGATTTAATTTGGGGTCCATTTGTTTGATCTTCCTTTTACGAGATGATCACTTATTTTTTTAAAAAAGTTATTTTGTGAAATTTTATTATATTTGTTTAAACTTTTGAAAATAATCAAAATCTAAGAAAAATCATATTTCTAAGTTCTGACCAATTTGAAAAGCTACTTTGAATAGTTTCTGAAAAGGAAAAATTTTATATACTTAGCTTTATATGTTATGGTGATTGTTTCCAATTAAATCAAGATATGCGTATCATTTATTGATTATTTATTCTACAATAATTTTTTGTCATTAATATTATTAACACATTAAATTCCACTTGTGTAACAACAAAATTTTTTAATTTGAACAAAATTTCCTTCCAAGGGATATTTTATTAAAATAAGTTTCTTTTTTTTTTTGCAACTTTGACTTGATTTGATTTGATTTTATTTTATTTTAGATTATAGGAAATTTGGGGTCCTTTTTTAACTTTCGTTGGGTCTTTTTTTGTAGTTTTTCTGGTGCTTTTCTTGTAATTTTCCCAAACTTCCTTATCTTATGGTAAAAAACAGAGCATTCGCATTTGTTCTTCACCGAGCTTGAGTTCTCTCTTCTCATCACCATTGAACTCTATCTCTTCACCTTTGGCTTGCTCTTCCTCTCACCGGTGGCTGAACTGGTGCATATTGGCAGCTAGAAGTGGCTCACTAGAATCTGTTCTTCCTTTGCTGTCATCTTTTGCTTATCCATGTAGGTAGAGCATCCGTGTGCGTGTGCTTGTGTGTGCCTTCAATCCTTCTTGCTCTCTATCTGCTGAACGTTATGTATAGGTGTATGATAAGCTAAATTTTTCTCTTTTTGTGGTCACGATTTCTGGTTTCCATCTTCCTTATTTGAGTTGCAGAACAGAGCTTGCTTCCTTCACCAATCTCGACCACGTGTTGATCTTGAACTGTCATCGCTTTGCCGTAGTTTGAGGTAAATTGTTGATCCTCTCTTCTGCTCGCTACAGAACTCGTTCATTATCTTCCTCTTCACTGTTCGTCCGTGTTTGTCCGGTGATGACCTGAATTTTTGTTCTGTTTGGTGACTAACAAAGGGGGTGTAAGCAAGCATATTCAGCCTTAGTTTTTCTTTTTCCTCTACTGCTAGGCACTGTGTGTGTTTGTAGAGAAAGCTCAAGGTTTATGTATATATATACATATATGCTGATTCTGCTTCTTCCTCACATGGAGCAACTAGGTTGAATTCTACCTTTGTCTTTTGGCGTAGTTTATGAACTAAGGAGAGGCTGTTGTTTCTGTACTTCTATTCAAGGTTAGACTGCGATCCTTTCTTCTCCTTTGAATTTATAGGCAGCGTGAATCATCCTTTCTCCTTCCCCTGGCCAAGAATGTGTCTCTGCTCCTCCTAATGTCTGTTATAATTTTAAGTAAATTGATTTGTACTTTAAGTAAGTGGTTGTAGTTTGGAGTGAGCTGAATGATAATAATAAAGTTATTAGGTTGATTAAATTATTGGATAATTATTGTGAACCAAATTTTTGATATACTCACAGTATTTGCAAGTATGCTTGAAAGAAGAAGTTGATGGGAATAGAATTATTAAAATTTTATTAAGCTTAGAAAAAGAGTTACATTAATGGTTGTGCTTGAATGTGCCTAGTGTTGTTGACTACTTAATAGATGTTTTTGAAGGGTTTGGTCAAAATTTAAGGGGTTATTGAGAAATTTAATGAATAATTGAAGACATTAAATGTTAATTTCACTTGCTTATATTAAGAAAGGAAATCATAATGACATGAAATGTGGTGGTTTACATGCTATATTAAATTGGGGCATCATTAGAGTAAGTAAGAAATTAAGAGAGTCGGACCATAAGATTTTTGAGAATTCAGGTGAGTGAGTAGCATTCCAAATCAATTTTTAGTAAAGTGTTTATAAATTTCCTTCATTTAAATTTTACTATTATTCCTTTATAAATTGTACAAATACTTTTGTAATTCTATTTTTTTTTAACAATTGTTTTGTTATTGAAAATGCATTGATTTTACTGATTTATATTGCTGATAAGTAATAATTGAAATGGATATACGACAAATGGTATTGTTTCTTAGAAGTAGTTTAATTATTTAGTTCCATGTTGATAATTTTTTTATGCAATTATTCGTGTATGGAGGAAATAAAAATAAATCTAAGCAATGGAAAATGAAGGGAGACTAAGTTCATAACGCTAGTTCCTAACAGTAGTTCCGTTAGCCCTTGGGGCACCATGGTACACCTAGCTAGTAGGGTGCTTGTAGGGTGCTAGCCCTGTGCGCAGGCCAACGCACATGGAATGGAGGGATGGATATTCGTGAGCATTGTACTCATGCTTGTTTCGTGGGCTACATGCTTGTGCTTGTTTCGTGGCTTCTAGCCGCACTTGTTGGTGATTTACTCTCATGGACTATGTGTCCATGCTTGTTAATCGTTGTGATTAAGTCCCGTTAAAATGTGAAATTTTGAGAATTATTATTTTTAAATTTATTCTAATAAATAAATTATTGTTTAATTATATATGATTTTATATAATAAATTTCCTCCTAGATTAGATTTAAAAAAATATTGTTTTATATTAGTTATTTATAGATTTTTCCTTGATTATATCATCATTTGAATTCTTTTTTGTATATTTTTATTTTATTGTACAATTCTTGATAACCTATCACAAATTTTAAATTTATTGGTTTATTCCACGGTTATGTTGTTGAGTAACGTTGTCATTTATTGGTTGTTTATGTGACTTAATATTCCATTGATTTATTTTTAACTAAATTATATTAATTACTACTTTTATGTGTTTTATCTATAATTTTGATTGAGATGTTACTCACTAAAAACTTCTTTGGTCTCGGATAACATAATTGACCTTGCACCTCTTGTTGATCATTAAGGGGCTTTATTGCTTTTTGGACGATGGATGCACGCTTCAATCATTTATTTTAATGTAAATATTCATTATATTATATAATGATAATTAGTGCTCCATGTATGCCATAATTATATATGGGGAGGCTCTGCCAAAATTTCTACAAACACTTAAAATTTTACAAACCTTATAAACACATATAAAAATTTTATATTAATAATTTAGCTTAATTTTTGGTTAATTAAGGCTCATGGAATGTGAGGTTATCTCATACTCTGTGCCAGTCATACGCTTAGAACCGGGATGTGACAACTGTTTTGATTTGATTGGATGCAAGTACTATGCATTAAGTATATAAGGCTAAGTACCTAAGTCTTACCCTTTTAAAATAACTAAAAATAATTTATTTATGAATAGAAATCCATGAAGATATCATAAAATATAAAAATAATTAAATAATAATCACTTTTCATTGCTGTAGCCAAACATAAATAATATATGCTTTGTATAAAATCTCTACAACATATATCTCTTTTTTTTTAAAAAAATCTAAACAATATAAAACTCACTTATTTTTTTAATCATAAACAAATTGGTCCTTGATTTATTTTGTAGTATAAACTTATGAAAATATGTTCTCTCCTAAATATAACCATTGAAACCATCAACTTGACATACATTTGAAGGGATGCTTCTCCAAAAATTATGGTCACTCAAAAAAGTTGTTTCTAATTATTCCCATTAAAAAATAAAGAAAAAATCATGTATAGGTCTCATAGAACAGACTTATTTATAAATAAGTCCACCAAATTTAAAAATCATAGCTAGGTCCCTTGGAACTTGAGTATAATTTAAAACTAAGGTGCAAAGACAATAATGTCCCTATTAAAAATACATTACATCATCAGTAATTTACAACTATCATTTTTAACTTTTTACAATTGTAATTTTACATCTCCAATAGTTAAACTAATCAAGCATTGCAAGGTTAATACTAATTGTATACAATTACCTTATCAGTAATTTACAACTATCACATTAACATTATACAATAACTTCACATATCTATACATTACTAACAATGTTTAACATTAATTATTTACAACATTTCATCAATAATTTACAATTATTACTTCAACTTTTTGCAACTATCACTTCACATATTTAATAATTAAACTGATCATACATTACAAGTATAAGGGTAGTATTATCTGTGCACCGTAATTTCAAATTTCAATTAGATCCCAAGGGACCTACTTGTAGTTTCTAAATTATATGGGACCTATTTGTAAATAAGTATCCTTCAAAGGACCTATACGTAATTGTCCCAAAAAGAAAAGCCAACAATAATAAAAAAAATTATTATTTGTTAAAAATGTACCTTGGAGGCTATTGCTTGCAGATATAAATTTTCAAGCATGAACAAACTTCCAATGCTTGTTATTTGCCCTAACAACTTATTCATACCCATGTACATATTTTTCAGATTTGTAAGCTTATTCATTTCTTTAGGAATATGTCGTGCAATATGGCCAAAGCATAACCTTATACTTTTTCGTGAGTGCTTATATAAAAAATAGTATTAAACGAAAGAGTAAGACATATAATTTTGGGAATACATTATTGTTGTATCTCATACATGCATTCAATATCTGGTTAGTCAATACTACCAACCAGATAATATATAGATATACATGCATCAACTTATGACAATTGAAAAGTACAAAAGAAATTCCAAAAGTTATAGTGTAAAAAAAAAAGTGCCTTGCTGAATGATAATTCCCAATAACATTTAATTAAATTGTCTTTTTAAACAAAAATATTTTTTGTCAGAGATAACTCATTGAAGGAATAATTTTTAAAGAATAATCAAATTTTTTCTGGCAATGATAGCTTAATTATAGAGGTATATATAGTTAATTTGTTTCATGTATTTGTAAAATGTTTGAGAATTTTTGGTTCAAGGTCTAACTTTGAAAATACATAGTAAATAGTACACCCCAAGTTAGATTGACATCAAGTATAAGACTGATATAAATGATTATAAAAAAATTATAAATTCATCAATTTTGAAAAATAGAATAAATGTTTATAATATATTATACAAGACATACCTTCTAAGAAGTTGAGAGACAATGAGATGTGTTCAAGCGATAATAAGTTAGAGATAGTTGGAGGTATACTTCCTGAAAGCATGTTTCTAGAAATGTTTAAAAATTTTAGGTGTTGAAGTCTTCCAATATCCATCGGAATAGATCCATTCAATGTTTTCAGAACTAGACCGGACATTGAACCGGAAAAGTCAGCAGTTTACGGTTTGCATGGTTCAACTGGGTGGACGACGTAATAATTAAATTAAAAAAATTATATATGTGTATAATAATTTAAATATAAGAAATACATATGAAATTGCTATTTAACTTAAAAAATCAAATATTTTAAGTTTATCATAACTTAACAAGCCATGTGATATAACATAATATCAAATGATTAAAAAAATTAGTCATTTTTTTAAAAAAATTTGATAAAAATAAGAAAAAGGTTTTTTTTTGTACAGTCAAGTTTTTGAAAACTGGATCCGATTCTCGATTTGATTCCAATTCTCGATCCGACCGCCAGTTCAAAATGACTCAACTCCTAAAACGTTTTGAAGTGTTGAAGCGTAAACAAGCTTCCAATCCAAATCAAAATTTCTCCACTAAAAGTATTATAACTCAAGTATAGAATTTTCAATTTGTGCAATTGAAGCAACTCTTTTGGCAGCCCACCATGAAAGTTGTTGCTTTGTAGTTCAAGTTTTTCTAGGAAGGATAGATTTCCAATTTGTAAGGGTAAGGTGCCCTTAAGACCCAGATCAGGAAGGATTCTCACTCTCATTGTTAGGATCACAAGTGACTCCAAACCAGTTGCAAAAGGAAGATGATGAGTTGGACTAATTTTTCAAGTGGTTGTAAGGGTCCCTAATAGAAGATTTGAAAGCAAGAAGTGTCAATCCATCGAGGGTAAAATTGGAATGACATAAAGATGGGCAAACCATGAGACAGAGCAT